GTTCACTGTGAACTTGGCAGCAGTACTCACTGCATACTTGTTGGAGTGGACTGAAGCAATTAGCTGCAGTGGGGATCTCAGCTGATAAGCACGTGTTGCTGCTACGCAAACACTGATGCAAGCTCACTCAATTGTATTTATAAAGTCAACCTTAGATATACGATGTAGTTCACTATTACAACCAGCACAACCTGATGTTACACAGGTTTTTCTGAGGGTCAGACGGGAGGCTAGCTTATCAGAGAAAGAAAGAATCTTCTCAGTTGTAGTATTTGTTACTCCCTTCACATCACATCACCAGAAAAGCAGAAAAGCTATTAAAGCAAAAACTCTTAAACACCTTTGCCTTTTCTTCCTCCATTTTGAGAGTCACAGAATCACAGAATAGTCACGATTGGAAAAGACCTCTGAAATCACCAAGTCCAACCATCAACCCAAACAAACACAAACACCTACACACACTCCACCAAAAAACACCCACATAAAACTCCACAACCTCAGTCACTAGAGCATGCCCTGAAGTCCCACATTTACATGTTTCTTCAATACCTCCAGGGATGGTGACTCAACCACCTGCCTGGGCAGCCTGTTCCCGTGCCTGACCGCTCTTTCAGTATTGAAATTCTTCCTAATATCCAACCTAAACCTCCCCTGCTGCATCTTCAGCCATTTCCTCTGGTCCTGTCACTAACTACTTGGGAGAAGAGGCCAACACCCACCTCCCTACAACCTCCTTTCTGGTAGTTGTAGAGGGCCATGAGGTCTTCCCTCAGCCTCCTCTTCTCCAAACTAAACAACCTCAGCTTCCTCAGCTGCTCCTTGTATGACTTGTTCTCTAGTCCCTTCACCAGGTTGACAGCTCTCCTCTGGACAATCTTCAGCACCTCAATGTCCTTCCTCTAATGAGGGGCCCAGAACGTAACATCATATTTGAGATGCAGCCTCAATAGTGCTGAGTACAGGGGCATAATCACTTCCCTACTCCTGCTGACCACAATATTCCTGACACAAGTCAGGATGCTACTGGCCTTCTTGGCCACCTGGGCACACTGCTAGTTAATCATTAATTTGTCTGACCTTAGTAGTAGCAGGGCCATGGAGTGGCCACAAACCACAAACTATCCTCTTATGGAAGAAGAAGAATCATGGGAAAATTCAGGTTGAAAAGGACTTCAGGAAAGCTCCAGTTCAGCCTCCTCCAAGCTGGATTATATCTGAGATTAGGTTACGTTACTCAGGGCTTTTTCCATTTGGGTCTTGAAAACCTCCAAGGGAAACCTGATGCACTCACTGCTTGCCTATCCTCACAATGAAAAAACTTTTCACCACCCTGAACACCTCATTTAAATTCACATCTTCCATCCTCCCATCATTCACTTGAGTGAACAGACTGGCTCTGTCTTCCTGACAGCTTTCTCGTACCTATTGTGCCATTAAGTCTGTTAGGACCTAATGCCATTAGGTACCCTGGTAGCTTTCTCTTCTCCAGGCTGAAAAAAATACAGTTCATTCAGTGTCAGGTGTTCAGAACCTGTCTCAATGGCTCCTCAGTGAACTTACTCCAGGTATCTTATAGCATCCCCACTCAACTAACAAGGAGAAAACAAAGATAAAGGCTGAAGCCCACGTAGAGGACAGGATTTTTCTTAGCTGGAATAAATGATACCAGGTAGAAAGACACAGTAACAGCACTTTTAAAGGACATGTGGAAACTGTGACCTTTTTCATTTTAGTAACCTTGTAACTTGCTGGTTAAGAATCATTTCGAAGTTGGGAGATAGACTGAAATTCCATTTCTACAGTTGCTTTAAATAATAAAATGAATCCTCTTCTTGAAAAAGTGAATTAACCACTACTTTATTCCAGAAAAGCAGGACTCCAACACTTTATTCTCTCACATACAGTTGCAGATAATAGCAAAGATAACCACTTGGAGAGGATCAGAAGTGAACAGAGGTATCCTCCTGCTGCCTACATTCTTGTACAGACACTTTACTACTTGATAGCCTGAATATTAATTTTTAATAATATTCGTAATTCTAACCATCCAGTATATGTGAATTATGAGCACATAAGATGGCATTCTTGATTCCACTTGGAGGACAAAATAATTAAAATGTAAATGTCACAGTACTTAGATTGTTAATGTAGAAGACCTTTATTGGATTTTACTCTTAATCTAAAAGTCTATATCAATTTACAGTTCTGGAATAATAGAAAACAACACTTTCTTAGTTCAGAATTATTATTTTTTTTTTAGATTATTTATTAGGTATTGTATTTCAATAACTGAATTTTCTATTTAGCCAGAGCTGAGAAATGTCTTGAATATTGTATGTACTTAATTTCTGTACTAACTACTGGTGATGAAAGCCAACTCAGAAAGAAAACTTTATCTAGCAACTTTCCTGAAAAAATGGCTTAGTAAAACTCTCTGCGCACATGCAGCAACAAAAAATTCTGGAACCTTTACTGCAATGTTTACAGTCATATATGCATAATGGTAATCTGCTAGACTCAATGCTAAGAGCTTAAGAGTCACCACATGCTTACATCAAAGGCTATTAATCTGTACGTAGTTATTTGACCTGGGATATGCTGAATCTTTGCTGACAACACTGTGCCTTGTCATGCTGTTAACAAAAAGAATTACCATGTCTGAACTGTGTTTGCCTGCTGTGCTTTCATCCCTCCAGTCAGTTCCTAAGCCTTTCATGAGAACTTCATCAATGATGTCAACTTCTGACAAGTGAGCACTTAATGAATTGGAAGCTCCCTTTAACCAGTTGTTGGAAAAGAGAAAAGGGACACCCAGTACTTCAGAGACAGAGTGGCAGGGAGATACTCCTTACTCTAGCCTATTTTTTTGCACACTGGTCCCTGGGAAATTATTCCAGTGGCTGCCTGTTCTCACCCGGAGCTTTTGCAAAATACAGACCTAGCACTATCAATTTTCCAGGACCTCTAATATTTTCACTACTTCCTACCCAGTCATGAGCAGAACCTGTGGAGCAGATAAGAACACTGCTAACCCCTACCTCTGGCTGGGTGTAGAGGAGGCAGGCAAGGGGGGGCAGGCAGATAAGGCAGTAATTGAACAGGTTGCCCGGAGAAGTCAGGGAATGCTGGAAGGTTTCACGTTTTAGCTAGGGAAACCCATGACTGACCCAATCTAATGCTAGTGACAGGCATACTTCAAATGGGAAGTTGGGTTACATCATCTCCAGAGGTCCGTGCCAAAAAAATCTATAGTACAATTAGTAGCTCCAAAGGCAGATGATTTACCTGTTTGCTCTTGCCTAATGACAGTACCATATGATTTAACATTCTGTGAATTAGGACATAAAAGTTAAAACTCCCTGAATATTTAAAAAGAACACTTAAATTATGATGAAAAATCATAGCTAGTTATGTTCACAAGTCAAAACTCCTTTTTTAAAATTAAATACATATTTCCCAAACTCCACTGAAACTGCTGATTCTTTTAGACAAAATCAAGCATCTTTTACATATCAAGGTGTAATCAAATATGTGCAAATATCCATGACTTGAATTTTGACCAGAGAAGAGGAAACGTTGTCACGAGCCAACGTCGTCACAGGGGCTACCTGTTGTCATGTGCTTTCATGCCTTCCCTCCCCAGTTTGGAGGGCTTTGTGAAGGAGACCAAGGGCACACGTGGCATTCCCCTCTCACAGAGGAACGGCTGCTGTGGGACCGTATTTTAGAGCAGAGGTTAGAATACCACCCTCACCACACCTACAAACTGTTACTGAGACCAAGATTTACTTTACGAATTAACCGGTTTATTAAAGAACAGTTACACTAAGGGATGAGGTTTAGGAAAAATGTAAAAATGGCAATAGCTACCAGGGATATATGCAACAGGACTGTTTCCCACACATGTTTAAAAATCAATCCTTAAACTAGCTGAAGTGTTACACTGTATTCCACATATCTCTAGAATTAAAAACAAACAAGGGGGGTTTGGGGTGTTTTTGCCTGGTATTCTTCCAGAAGTGAATACTAAGATGAAACATGGTTTAGTTTTACTAATAAGGAGAAAGTCTCTAGTGTACATAAATTTCTACTCCTAACTTGTTTAAAGATCCTGCTACAGAAAACAAGTCTGGAAAAAACTGCTACTGGAAGACTGTTTCAGCAAAACAAGGGAAATAACATATTACATAACTACCGTCAGAAGAACATACACAATTTAAAAACACCCTAAGAACAGAACACTTTTCTTTGGACACTTGAATTGTGTACAAATAAAGAAAAAGAAGCTTCTTCTTATTCCTGAAATCTAAAAAAAGTAGTCAAATAAAACAGTACAAATGAATTTGAAAGGCCTTTATCCTAGTTTTTTCACACACAGGCTTCTAAATTAATTATAAATTGGTTCCATTTACTGAAAGTGAAGCTTGCTGGATCAAATCCTGTGTCTTTGACCTATGAGATGTAGAACTAATGTTGATTTCCAGTTTAGTAGTCTCTTGTACCATGTGGAAGCTTTTTACTATTTTTCAAGCTTACTTAAAAAAAAAATAAATCATGCCTTTTCCAGATCTTTGCCACTGTATGTGACAGTCACATAAAATTTATACCACACCGTGCCAGTATATGAAAACACTCCCAAGTAATCCTGCAATATCATTTGGCAGCATTTAGCTAAACACAAGGTAGTAAGGCTCGTGAGCAATTCTATAAACTGACAGTTTAATAGAACATGCATTGCCAGTACAAAACAATACAGAAAAATTGTGGCATCAAAGCAACGTTTCTGGACGCAAAGCACTGCAATTTCCACGGGCACAGGCAGGTACCTCATGATAATACCTCCGTAAAGCCTGAGTGTGAATGCAGCAAACTCCAGATAAAGTTTTAGCAACTCCCACGTTTTCCTGACGTGCTTTATCCCCAGCTCTAACTCACTATATTTCCTGCACATGTGAGATTAAAGTTAATTTACAACACCTGTATACTCGCAGCAAACATACCACAGAGTTTTTCATCATCGCTTTCACAGTGAATCCGTCAGAGACATGCTGCTTGTTTTTCTTCTCGTGCCCCGCTGGCTCCTGCTGCGGGGGGCACGCGTCCTCTGCCGGCTTTGAGGGGCTTGACCCCGCTTTCTCCATGGTTCTCTCCCCACCAGCGCCCGCCACGGACAAGAAGCAAAATATAGACTGGAAACAAACAGACAAACATCAACGCTACGCCCCAGCAAGTTGGAAAACACAGCAGGTCTACCTGGTCTCCCTCTGCCGCCCTCCCAGCCACCGACACCCTCACACCCCCCTTCCCGCGCTTTCCCTGCCCCTGACAGACGTCTCCGCTTGCGCTTCTCCCCTCGCGCCCCCCCAGCCCCCGCTGCGACCCTGCCCTTCGCCCT